TAAAGTGCATGAACACTCCCGGCGCATTGGTCAGGCCAAAGGGCATAACCCAAAATGTCCATAACGCGTCCGGAAGGCCGTCTTCCACTCATCTCCCGCTCGAACTCGGACTGAGTTATAAGCTCCCCGTAAGTCCAACTTAGTAAACATTTTGGCCTGGCGGAGCCTCTTGATGAGTTCAGGGATGAGCGGGAGTGGGTACTGATTACGGATCATGATGGCATTCAGTTTCCGGTAATCACAGCACAGTCTAAGCTCCCCTGACTACTTCTTCACAAAGAGCACTGGCGCAGCCAACGGGGAGGTGGAAGGCTGTATAAACCCCTTCCGGAGATTCTTGTCGGTGAAGTCCCTCAAAGCTGCCAACTCCGGTTCCAACAGAGAGTAAATCCGGCCAACAGGCAATTTGGCATCGGGCACTAAATCAACTGGGCAGTCATAAGACCGATGCGGGGGCAACTGATCTGCCTCTCTTTCCCCAAAGACATCGGCATAATCCCCCAACTCTGCCGGTAGGTCCAGGTCCACTGACCAGGCACGAACACAGTCGCTGGTAACACAAGGTGTTTAACAAGAGTCTGCTGAGGTGGAGGTACTGGACCCGTGTCCGAGTGAGCCCGGCCTACGGAGCCCTCTAGGCCGGGCCCAGCCCATTTCCCGCCGCCGCTTTGGGTGCCTTCACCGGACACTTGGCCGCCATATGGCCTGGACCGCCACAATACAGGCAAAGGCCTTCATGGCGGCGGCGATCTTTTTCAGCTTGGGTCAGACGGGGTTGTGCAGCCCCCAACTGCATTGGCTCCTCCGGAGGCGGTGCCAACGGTGCCACTGTCTTAACAGGTGCGGGCAAGGCCTCCGTCCGTCGTCGCGCCCATCGCTGCTGAAGTCTTGCATCAATACGGAGACACAGGTGCATGAGCTCCTGCAAGGAGCGAGGGCATTCAGTGCGTGCCAGCTCATCCAGGAGTTCGGATGAAAGTCCCTCCTGAAACTGGTCCATAAGCGCCACCTCGTTCCACTGCAGCTCCTGACAAACCAACTGAAATGTAGCAATGTAGTCTGTCAGCGAACCACGCCCCTGTCGCAACTCTCTCACCCGACGGTTTGCAGTCTGGGCCATAACTGGGTCCTCAAACATGGCCTTGATTTGCCGGCAAAACTCTGCATAATTGTCCAGCAGCTGATTGGGCTGGGTCAGCAGGGGTGTTGCCCAACGTGCTGCCGTTCCTGTCAACAGGCTTAGCACAAACCCCACCTTATCCCGGTCAGTGGGGAAATCCTCCGGCCGAAGGCTCATACATAACTGACACTGCCCAAAGAATGATGGGAATCGTGCCTGTGACCAATCAAACTTGTCTGGCACTGGAACAGGGTTTCTGCGGCTTGGCCGAGCTGCTTGCATCTGTGCCATCCGTGCAGTCAGGAGGGCCACCTGCTGTTTTAGCTGATCATTTTCCGCACGGAGCTGATCCATGGTCACCCTACTTGGTGTGGAGGAGCAATTGGGAGTAGGCCGGGAACAAAATGTGATGACCCAGGGCCCCGAACGGAGGCAAAGCAATTAGCTGGTCAGAATAATTGTCTTTGTAAGCACTGCCAACGTTCACCAAACAGCCCCCACATATGCTGGCACAAGTTCAATAAAACAGTCAATGGAGTTAAACAGTTCTTTAAAGTAAAACAGATAACAAAGTATGATCTTTTCAATGCCCAGCTTGCCTGTAACCTGCAAACTGCAAAACTGAAGACAGCAAGGAAAACTCAGCAGGAAACAAACTTGATCTGAAATACAAAGAGTCCAGGTACAAGAGCTCACATCACAAGAGTTGACGTTTGTTCCTGGCAAATGCCCCACCCCACAGCGTCTCCTTAAATGCCTACTCCCCAGGTGTGCCTTGTGAAGTAGGGCGTGACGCTGTCCTCCTGAGCAAGTGAGCCTGCCTCCATTGTTCCCTCCTCCTCTCTGCTCTCCTTGCTCTGGGATCTGGTGGGGAGGGGCCTTGCTCCTCGCCTGAGCTCTGCCTTCCCTGTTCCAAACTTGAAGGGCCCTGGCCTGCTTCAGCCTGTTCCTCCCCACAGTCCTCCGGAGCCACAGACACCCCCTCCTGGGCCTCAACAGGGAACTCCATGTCGTCCTCAGAGTCAGGCTCGAACGGAGGCATGACAGCGTGAGTGCTGCGTTCCGCTCTCTGGCCCTACTAGGTGATGGAGAGGGCGACCGGAAGCCGGCCGACGCTTGGCTTGTGCCACCGCGCACTCCCACAGGCCGGGCATCCCACAGGATGGGCATGCCCTGGGGTGCTAGGCTTACAGAATGGCATGGCCCAAGCGAGGAAAGGCGCGGCCCGGCAAAGCAGAGCCAGACAAGGAGAGGCCTGGCAAAGCGGGGCATGGCCGGGTATAATGGGGTTAGGCTGGGAGGGGCGGGGTGGGGTGAAGCAAATGAGCTTCAGCTGTCGTGCACCACCAGCCCCTGAGCGCTCACTGTTTCATGTGCGTGCGCCAGGGGGGGCGCCCAGTAAAAGCAAAAAAAATCACTGCTGGCAGTTTGGAAGAATTGCCCTATGAAATAATTATTGGTGTTGACTTGCCAATTTGTGAGTATCTGATTCCTAAAAATGGAGCTCGGCTCAGGATTGGGCCCTCTGTGGAGGCCCTGGGGGTGTGGCGGTGGCAGGCAGCAGGATCAGGAAGATGATCCCGTTCTATGGGAAGGGAAGGGTTGCATGCATACACATACACGCACTTTGTTTTAATATGCTGGATTCTGTGTTGACGCCTGGCAATTACCAGGAAAAATATAAGTATTTTACTTTTTTCTTTTTTTTTAGAAAGATGCAATGGAACACCCATGATTTGCCCACCAAAAGATTCAATATGTAAGCTGGCTGCAATACAGTTTTCATACAAAACAAAAAAAATCTATTTCAGCCTTGCTAGTGATGAAATGCAACTAGAAAAGTTCACACTGCATTGATCGCCACTCCTCAAAACTCTATTCAATCCATGTCTTTTGCCCCCACTGCTTTTTATACAGCCAACTTCTTGTTTAAATGTATATGTATATGTATATGTGCATACCAGCTGAGACTGTCAACACAGGGCAATCTTTACTTATTTTGAAGCTTTCTACACGGTATTCTGCTGTCTGCCACCGCTGCTTTCCTAGCGCCTCCCCGATCCTGCTGCCTGCCACCATCACACCCATCCACCATCTCCACGGAGGGTCCGATCCCGAGCTGAGTGTCCCGCTTCTGCCACCACCCCACCTGCCACCACACCCCCAGCACCTCCACAGAGGGTCTGATCCCGAGCCGAGCATCCCACTTCTGCTGCCCCACCTGCCACCGTTGCACCCCTCAGTGCCTCCATGGCTCAGCAGAGGCCCACCCCTCAGTGCACAGATTGTCTGCCAGGAGGTGCAGGTACTTGTCCCTTGAATTGCCTGGGTAAAAGTATCCCTCTGCAAATCACCTGGGTTCAGGGGCCGGAGGTGGAAGGCCGTAGGTCCATTGGCAGCACTGGAGTGACGGCAGAGGCCCAGCCGAGTCTAAACACCCACTGTGGGTCGGCTGCAGCTGGAGGGTCGGGGTGAAGGGGGCATGAGCATGTGGCAGAGGCGAATCATCCCATTCCGCTGGCAGTTGAATGAAAGTCCTCTTGCCTGCTTGCAATAGCTGCCAATCTCCAGATGTTGCATTCACTTCCTCATCTGTAGGCCATTTGCTTTCACATTTCCTGATACACACACCTCTCTTCCTACTCTGACTTAAGCTTGATTTAGACTTCTTTGTCACTGCATATCAGGGAACATACTGTATGTTTCTGTCTGTCATGGTTCCGACTAATGAAACACTTCAAAGAACTTCCAGGCAATGTTTACCCTAAAAGCCTTTATTAACAGTGTAACAGATTGACGGCACTTCAGATGGATGGATGCCAGAATCTGAATTTCTCTTGCTTGCGTCTAGCTTTTCTTGCTAAACTCCTCCCTTATTTTGCAGTCATAAGTCACATCTTCCAATTAGCCCAGAGGGCAAAGATTCACTTCCGTTCCTTTTCCCGGGCTTTCCTTATAAATCTCCTCCCTTTCTCTGTCATCTGAATTAACTCTAAAAATACCAGACAGTTCTGTATATTTTGTCAAAGCAATAATATCCTATATTAACAGCGTTGACATCATCATTCAGAGACAGTTGCATAGTTGTTGCATTTATACTTTGTTGGCAAATCTCTAGCTGCTCCATTTTGTCATTTGAATGTGCCTTGCCTTCTGCCTGCCTCCCAACAGGAAGTCGGATCAACCAATCAGCATGCAGGATGCACATCTCCACACAACGCATAGTTGAGATTGGTGTGCGTGTCAGCAACCATCTCCAACCTATGCTTACCCATCAACCCCTTTGCAGTGTAGGTATGCATTCACACCTACACACAGTTGTGGACAAGTCTAAATCAAGCTTTAACATTTGCTTTTGCAAGCTCAAAGGACTGGGTGAGTGAGGCTTCCTCTGAACATCAGCATGCCCTTGAAAACACCAGGGTGTGGCTCAATTAGCCAGGCAGCTGCAACAATGCCTGTGAGTGCAATTGATGGATGGAATGAATGAAAGCCTGAGGTACAACTACCTTTGGAAAGAGCAGACAACAACCCTAACTTTACTCTCTCACACCTAAGCAATTAAAAATGCCTTGACCCAGTATTGAAAAGATAGCTATGAAGTTGTGATTGTGATTGTGATTTCATTTTAATTCAGAATGTCTGGCTTAGTTCAGTGCAACACTTGTTTTGCAGCTGTCTTTCGCAGAACTCTTTTCAAACTTGGATACTGTCCTATCTGTAAACAAATCACTAGTCTACAAGGACAGATTACTTCTCTAGGGTCTGTAATCTGTGCTCTTCAGGCAGAAATTAGGTGTCCAGTTAAGCCGTTCTGCTCTATTGAGCTGCCACGCTAACAGCCCCCTCTACCACAAAGATCCTGCAGGAGAAGGGCAGTATGGACAATTGTGGGATGTGGCAGGGTGAGACCTGTGAACCATAAACACAAAGCTTTCGCTGTGTCCCTGCATAACATATACAGTGCCCTTGCTGACCTTATTAGGGACACTAAGGAGACAGGTCAAGGTAGTTGGGCTGTCAGACTCCTGAATGGGAAATAACTCCATGTATGATAGACTTGTGGGGCCGTCGCGTTGCGCAATAGGTTCACATGGGGTAATAAGATTGTGTGTTATTGTCACTGTGAATTGTGTCAGGGGGGTGCACGAAGGGAGGCTTGGCCAATCTCATTGTAGACATGTTGTACTTTGACAATAAAGGTTGATTTAATTTGATTTGATTTGATGATGATAACTTAAATAAGCAGGGGATTGTGGTCCGAGATGAAGAACTTGTTTTGGACAGGTGAAAGTGTGAATCAGATATTACACACCAGTCATGCAAGAAGAGCAAGGCATCCAAAAAGAGAAGACACCTTCTGGTTGGTGATTCAATTATAAGGGATGTAAATTTAGGAAAGGATACAGAGGTTTTGAAAGAGGTCAGGTGTCTTCCAGGTGCTACTGCCAGCAGGGACAAGAAGTGTATTTTTAAGATAGTCAAGAATGCCAGCAAGGAGTGTGATGTGGATGCTATTGTACATCTTGGCACTAACGATATGTCCCAAAAAGATGTACTCTCTGTGCAGAATGATTTCCAGAGCTTGGGGCATGAACGTAGCAGGATAGGCTGTAGGCTTACTTTTTCAGAGGTTTTACCAGTGTATAAGGAGCAAAATGGAAAAGGCCAGCGTATAGCAGAATTCAATATGTGGCTAAAGGAGTGGTGTAAAGGGGAAGGCTTTGGTTATAATAGTCACAATGTCTCCAGTTGGTCCAATGAAAAAGTGTACAAAAGAGATGGCTTGCATCCATCAAAGAAAGGGACTGAGTTACTTGGCAATAAATTCACAGATTTTCTGGAGGAATATTTAAACTAAACAATGGGGACAGTGAGTTAATTGATACAGAACATCCCTGTCCCCGGCAATCTAAAAATTATATGGTTATCAGTGCATGTAAAATAGATGTGTGTGTGGACAAGAATATCAACCTTGCTCTCAAGCAAAATCAACCTGTCAATTTTAATAACGAGTGCCACACAAAGTGCACTAATCGAACAGGTGGTCAGAAAATAGGGGAACTCAGGCACCACACAGGTTATGTAGTAAGTAACCACAAGGTTAGTCATAAATGACTCAAATGTCTATACACCAATGCACAGAGCAGGAGCAACAAACAGGGTGAATTAGAAATTCAGGTAAATGAGGGCAGATATGATATTGTCGCCATTACAGAAACTTGGTGGGATGAAACCCACAAATGGAACACACAGCTAGAGGGATTCAAATTATTTAAAAGAAACAGACCAAATAAAAGAGGAGGTGGAGTTGCTCTCTATATAGGAAATAACTACATCTCTACAGAAACAGAGCACAACAATGATGAAAACTGTCTTGAATGCCTTTGGGTCAATATAAAAGGGGGGGGGGGAAATGACATTGCCATAGGTGTATACTATAGGCCGCCCAACCAAACAGAAGAAATAGATGAACTTTTTGCTAGTCAGTTAACTAAGGTATGTAGGAAGCACATCACAATAGAAATGGGGGACTTTAATTACCCTGACATCAACTGGGAGACAAAATCTGCACCAAGTGGAAGATCAAACAAATTCCTGACAAACCTAGCAGACAACTTTGTCTCCCAAAAAGTAGAGAAGGGAACTAGGGGATCAGCCATATTGGACTTAATTCTCACTAACAGAGATGAAATGATAGAAGATGTTGAAACCACAGGAACCTTGGGGGGGAGTGACCATGCAATATTGGAATTCAACTTTATACAAGTACAAGCAATAGAACATAGTCAAACTAGAGTCTTGGAATTTAAGAGAGCTAATTTCAACAAACTTAGAGAGAGCTTGGGAAGGATTCAATGGATGAGAATCCTCAAGGGGAAAACAACTCAAGAAGCTTGGGAAATTTTGAAAAATGAGATAATAAAAGCCCAGTCTAGCACAATACCAACAAAGAAGAAAAATAACAGCTCTCAAAAGAAACCAGCATGGCTGCATAAAGAACTCTCTGACAAATTGAAAGACAAAAAGGACAAGTATAAAAAGTGGAAAGAGGGGCACATAACTAAGGCAGAATATCAGCAAATAGCCAGAGCCTGCAAAGATGGAGTGAGGAAAGCTAAGGCTCAAAATGAACTAAGGCTTGCAACAAAAGTCAAAAATAACAAAAAAGCTTCTTTCAACATGTAAAAAACAAGAAAAAAGTGAAGGAAATGATTGGTCCACTAGTGGGGGAAAGTGGCAAGAAGGTGACAAGCAACAGGGAGAAAGCAGAACTACTCAACCCGTTTTTTGCATCTATCTTTACACAAAGGGAAAAAACAGTCCAACCTATCAAAAACAGTACCGTAAAAAACAGATTAGAAACACAAGTTAAGATAGGCAAGAAAATGGTAAGTGAGCACCTGTCCACCCTAGATGTGTTCAAATCACCAGGACCAGATGGATTACACCCCAAGGTTCTCAAGGAACTGGCAGATGTGATCTCAGAACCACTAAACTATATCTTTTAAAGATCCTGGAGCACTGGGGAACTACCAGAGGACTGGAAAAGTGCTGATGTAGTTCCCATCTTCAAAAAAGGGGAAAAATGGATCCAGGAAATTACAGACCTATCAACCTGACCTCAATACCTGGGAAGATCTTGGAAAAGATAATCAAGCAACAAATCAGCGAACACCTAGAGGCAAAAAAAGGCATTACCAAAAGCCAACATGGGTTTGTCAAAAACAGATCATGCCACACAAATCTTATTGCATTCTTTGACCAGGTGACAAAATTAATGGATCAGAGGAGTGTTGTAGATATAATTTACTTGGACTTCAGTAAGGCATTTGATAAAGTAGACCACATCCTACTACTTGAGAAGATAGAAAAATGTGGGTTAGACAGCATCACCACCAGATGGATTTGTAGCTGGCTGACCTGCCGTACTCAGTGTGTGGTCCTCAATGGAACTGCATCTACATGGAGAGAAGTGTGTAGTGGGGTGCCCCAGGACTCTGTTCTGGGCCCAGTGCTCTTCAACATCTTCATCAGTGATTTGGACGAGGGGATAGATGGGGAACTCATTAAATTTGCAGACACTAAGCTGGCAGGAATAGCCAACACTCCAGAATATAGGCTTAAGATACAGAAGGATCTTGACAGACTTGAACATTGGGCGCTAACTAATAAAATGACATTCAGTGGTGAAAAAAGTAAGGTTCTACATTTAGGCAAGAAAAACCAAATGCACAGGTATAGTATAGGTGGTACCTTGCTCAATAGTAGCAACTGTGAGAGGGATCTCGGAGTCCTAGTCGACAATCACTTAAATATGAGGCAGCAGTGTGCTGCAGCTGCCAAAAAAGCCAACACAGTGCTAGGCTGCATTAATAGAAGGATAGAATCAAGATCACATGAAGTGTTAATACCACTTTACAATGCCTTGGTAAGGCCACACTTGGAATACTGCATCCAGTTTTGGTTACCACGATGTAAAAAAGATGTTGAGACTCTAGAAAGAGTACAGAGAAGAGCAACAAAGATGATCAGGGGACTGGAGACTAAAACATATAAGGAATGGTTGCTGGAATTGGGAATGTCTAGTCTAATGAAGAGAAGGATGAGGGGTGACATGATAGCAGTGTTCCAATATTTCAGGGGCTGCCACAAAGAAGAGGGAGTCAAGCTATTCTCCAAAGCATGAAGCAATGGATGGAAACTAACCAAAGAGAGAAGCATTTAGAACTAAGGAGAAATTTCCTGACAGTTAGAACAATTAACCAGTGGAACAACCTGCCTCCAGAAGCTGTGAATGCTCCAACACTGGAAGTTTTTAAGAAGAGACTGGACAGCCATTTGTCTGAAATGGTGTAGGGTTTCCTGCCTGAGCAGGGGGTTGGACTAGATGACCTCCAAGGTCCCTTCCAACTTTATTATTATTATTATCATCATCATCATCATCATCATCATCATCATCATCATCATCATCATCATCATCATCATCATCATCATCATCATCATCATCATCATTATGTTGCCCGTCAAAATTTCTTAAGGAATACAGTATACTCCAGTTGACATCTATCATAAAAAAAGGCCTTTTGCTTTATGCCTAGGTAGCGCTACCTCCTCAGAGGCCGCCAATGCCCAGGCCCTCCCAGCCACGTCCCCCCTTGTCCAGCCTTGCGGTAATGTTCTTTAGAGATCGATGAGGTGTCTTACAACTGGAACTCACGCAGCATTAATGGGTGGCAGGCTCTTCCTGTTGAAGCAGGACTTTCGGGCACGAACTTAACCGGTCACAATGGTTGATGC